CTCAGAACTAGAGGGAAAATGGATGTGGTGCAGAAACATGATGACCATTTTGGGGGACAGGCAAGATGGCTGTGTGCAATTTTTTCATCTTATCCATTCTATTTGAAATTGGCCAAATGCGTTCCTGATTTTATCTCGTGTGCCTATCTCAGGGTCTGTCTGCTTCTCTGTGCTAGCTGCTTCTCATCATCTGCCTCTGCCTTTCTCTTGCCCTTTTGTGTCTTTGTCTTCTGATCCCCTGTCTCCCAAATGTAAGGCACCCGGGAACAAGGCAGCCTTGGCTTCTCCCTGGTCTTCCCCTCAGCAGTCTGTGGACCTGATGTGTCTCTCAACATCAGTTTCTGCCTCTTTCAAGTGGAGACGTAATACTGATCTCGAGATGCCATTAGGATGAAATGAAACCAAGAGTCATGCAGGCCACTCAGTTCCTGGTGTGTAACCACTGCTAAGTAAATGCCTGTTCCTTCCCCATCTCCAGTCGATTGTCCCCTTGTGACATATTAGACTCCCACCAATCTGATGCCTTTCTTCTAGTGCGGCCGCCCTCAGCCCATTTTCAGATCAGCCAATGGAGCCAGGACTGCTGGAACCATTTTTCATCCAGTTGGTCTCTTTCCAGCAGTTTCATATGGCCTCTCACCGTAAATCACTCTGGGAAAATAAATGTCCCCAATCCATTAGTGCCTTTCCACCACAAGCCAATTTGTACCACCAACTAGACAAGGCTTGTTAATGGTCACTTAAATACATTCCTGCAGCCCAACCTGGAGACCCCGAGCTGGCCTCAAATCCTACCAGCCCCTGTCCACGAGACACTCCTCTGTTGATCAGACTGACAGCGGCAAGGGCGCAAATCTGATCCTTCTCAGTTGGGGGCCCTCACACCCAAGTTTGTCCAGGGCAGCTCCAGTTTGCTCCTGGAACCCCACAGTAATTTTTTCATAGTGCCCCTTTCACTTTCAAAAGAGTTCCAGTTCCAGTGATAAACTATATGGGGTATCTATGGCAACCAAGAATAATAGTTTAGATAATAATAGCTATCATTTATCCACCCCTTGCTACATGCCAGGCAGCATCATAAAGGTCTTAATGCTGGGCCTCATTTAAGCTTCTTTACACACTAAGGAACGAGGCACTATGATCGTCTCTATTTATAGACCAGGATGCTCAAGTGCAGAGGAGTAAGCAACAGGGCAACGTCAACCAGAAGGAGTTGTTCGTGCCTCACCCAGATCCCAACTGCTGGAGTGTTGGCTGCTCATGGCTCAGAGCTGTCCTCTTCCCTTAAGAAGTTTGCTCCATCAAATATAAGCCACCTCTGCTTGAGAGATCCCCTGCCCACTCATGAAGCAGTCCCTAGCCAATGACATACAGGGCTTCCTGCTCTTTACTTCCAGGTGGGACTGCCTCTGTGACGGGGTCCCCCTGAGACCACATCCCTGCTGAGCACTCTCCTCCACCCCAACCTGTTTTCCTTGCTCCCCACTGTCCCGAAAATGCTCAGTAAACTACTCGAAAATCGATCCCTGTGTCAGGCTCTGCCTCCAAGGAGTCAGACCTATGGCATCTGGTTAGCAGGCAGCAGAGCCAGGACTCGGGTCTAAGAAGTCTGGCATCCGCCCACTGATGTGACAGGGCATCACCAATAGGACAGACATGATGAAAGGAGGGCCTCCACGTTGTCTGATCACCAAAAGGCACCTCACAGAGGTCTAGACATGACAACACCGATGGCAACGATACAGTGACGTAACTCTGCTTACTGAGTGCTGACTCATGGTGTATCTGTCTTCTCAATGCCACCGCAAGGTTCATCTTATCCCCACTGTGCTGAGGAAGCCCAGGAAGCTTGAAGACATCGAGACACACCCACCAAGGTCACATGGATAGGACACAAGGCCCACACTTATATCCAGGTCGGTCTTTCTTCAAAGGCCATACACTCTTGATACTTGATCACTGGCATCTCCTTCTGTGTGAACTGTTTGATGGATAATTGGTGAAGTGGGTCCCATCAAACTGCTCTTCTTTAGACAGAAGACTATCCCTCTGACCCCCACCACTGCCCCCGGTGGTGACATTTTGCATTGCATTTAAGAAAGCCATCTTACTCTGGGAATAGCCAGAGCCTTCCCTTTTAAGCCATGCCTAAAAACAACAAACAGTTGAATTTATTGAAGAAACGAGGGAAAGCAATCATACAGGCCAAAAGGTCCAGACAGACAAATCACACTTCTTGTGACTTTTCTACCAAGGGAAGCTAAATGGAATAAAAGAAAAACATCAGAGCTTTGAGAAGAGGCAGATTCAAATTCTAACTCTACTATTGGGTGATATTTTTGGCAATTACCCCAAAGCCCCAAACCTCAGCTTATTCTTCTGCAACATAGGAAAAATAACTTTGTCATTGGTCCATCAATGAGAGGATAAATGAAATATGTATTTCTTCCTGCTGCTTCTCTTCCATTTGCACAAAATTTATAGCGTATCCAACTTAAGCCCTCATTCCAGGCCTGTCTGATACAGGTTCAGATGTACTATGCTTTCGTTCCAAGCAAAGAGCATATCCTATTTATGATAAAAGGTTTTCATTAAAAATAGAGAGCAGATAAAAGGGGACCTTCATCCATGAGGCCATCAGTTGATTCATAAAAATACCCAGTGAGTCATCCTGGATCTCAAGGCTAAAACTTACAATCAATGGGCATCTCAAGCCAGCCAATCCTAGCCCAGTGGAGGAGGAAGTGCCCAGAGAGCCATCTTCACAAGCTATTCCAATCCTCTCTTGCAAAACTGATTAGCTCTGCTTCCAGCTCGGCAAAAGAAAAATCAATCGGGGTCCTTTGCAATTCTGTTCCATGGGCACCCCCATGCCTGGCTGGGTGGCTTTCCGAACAACTGGACAACAGGGGTGGGAGACTGCAGTGATTCCATTGTGTGGGGGATTGGGGGGTATGTGTACAGCTCCTCTGAAGAACGGATTGTGTTTGGCCTTGAAAATCAATCTCTTGGCTTTCATTATGACATTTATTATCTCAAAATGCTTCAGTTTTTATAAGCATTTATGCAGTTAGTATAAGGCTACTGAATGCAAGGACCGATTTGCACTACAGATACTCTTTTCTTTAAAAAGTAGCCACAACATACCTACTCTGACATAGGAGTCCTGGAACACAATCTTCAATGAAGACTCTTTGGATGAAGAGTCATAAATTACAAACACACACACACACACACACACACGTAATTGTTTTATATGTGTGTGTGTGTGTGTGTATATATATATATATATATATATGTGTGTGTGTGTATATATATAAATGCATGTATGTGTATACATATGACATTTTTATGGCATGGTTAAGAAGGGAGAGTCATCAGTGTCTGGTTTTAATTGTGCTAGGCAGAAGATCTTTCACCAGCAAGTGAAGAAAAATGGTGACTCCACAACCCCCTTCCACTCTCTCTTCCATCCATTCACCTAACGATAACTCATTCAGGACAGAGGGCCAGGCACTGTGCTAGACATGGGGTGTTTGTTGGTGAAAAGGGAAGATATTAAGCACTGCTTTTAGGATGGATTGACTTGGTTCTGTAAGAGTTAACAAAAAGAACCAGATAGGATCTCCCCATTTGCAAAAGCCTCTTTCTTACCCTGAATTCCCCAGAGAGGCCTCAGAGTGGTGTTCAGAGTCAAAATAGACCAGCAGGATATGTGAGGAGCCAGCCAGACATCAGAGTCCACTGCTCCCACCGCTGGCTTCTAAGCTGGCAAATAATGCCTGCTTCTACTCTCAAGTGGAGAAGGGAAGGGAGATCTTTGCAATTTTTTTTTGTCTCTTGATTAGGTCCCAATTTGGGGTTTCTGATCTTGCTTGGGAAACCTGCGCTGCTGCTTTCGAAGCAGTGTGTGTTAGAGGCTTCAAAAGGCAGCTATGGGAAGGGCTAGGCTCATCTCTGAGAAAACAGTTCCACTTACAAGCTTCAGGCGGCTGCAGGGTTGGGTCCGCTGATCTTCCCCAGTAAGCCTCCTAGACCTCCGAGCAATGATCCCGCGGTGCGTTCACCCACAGGGGCTTACACACACAGTGCTGTTAATCTCAACAGGCACGGTCCAGGAAGTTTTCCCAGGAGGAATGGGGAATGGAGGGCCTCTTGGAGGGCTGGGCTCCTCCTGAGATGAGAGCAGGAGTTGGAAGGAAACTGATCAAGATTTTACCCCCTTAGAGAAACACAAGGGGTGTGGGCAAGGGGAGGGGTGGGCTTCAGCCCTGGCGTCCATCCCTCATTCAGTTTAGACACTAAGTATCTAACTGTCTCGCTTCCCAGTTCCTTTCCACATACCAGGCCACAAGGAGGGAAGTGCGCAGGGGGGTGGGGGTGGGGTGGGAAGAGACTTGCACCCAACTCAGCCTCATCAGGACAACAGCACAGAGGTTAAAAAGAATGTCAAATCCCTGCCGTGCCACTTAGTAGCGGCTGAGTGGTCTTGGGCAAATCGCTGGCTCTGAGCGGCGGTTTTCTCACCTGTAAGGAAGGGTAAACGATGACGGTACCCAACTCGTTCGGTCCCAGGAAGTATTAAATAGGATCGCACATGTAAAACTCTAAAATCGGCGGCTGGCACCCAGTAAGCGCACGATTATTAGTATATTTAACCAGGTTTACCATCAACCCCTCGCATCCCCACCCCTGTGCTGAGCTGTCCTACAGGACAGAGAACTCCCGCGGCACATTTTTCCAGACCCAGGGTGCTGACTCCACCATCCTCCCGGGCACTTTATATCTGGCTCGGGGAAGGAATGCCACCCTCGGCACCCACTCTGCCAGCATCGGCGGGTCACCAGCCTCGGGGAGGCTCTGTGCGCCCGCCCGGCGCGAGGGCGAAGGGGACGCCCGCAGAGGCTCCCCGGGGCAGCGTCCCCGCCGAGGCTCTCCCACACCCTCCCGGAGCCCCTAGCGCAAAGAGCGAGTGAGCGAGAAAGGCTCGGATACTGGACCAGGCTTTGACGCGGATCTTGAGCTCGCCGTCCTGCGGCTCGGGCATGGCCTTCCTGGAGAGCCGGAGCTTGTTGAGCCCCCCGAAGCCGGCCAGCACCACAGCGCGCATCTCCTGAGCATCCCCGAGGCGATGAGAGCCATCGCCGCCGCCGCCGCCCTCCGCAGGCTCCTTGCTTGGCTCCTTCTCGATCATTTGCTCCGTCTCCTCCGCCTTCTCCACGCCTTCCTTGGCCATGGCGCGTGGGGCGCAGGGCGCACGGGCTGCGGCGGCTGCGGCGCGGGGTGCTCGGGGTTCCTCTCCCGCGGGCTCCTCCTGTTGAATGTGGGATGCTTGGCGGCGCAATGGCTGCAGCCTAGGCGAGCGGCGCCGCGGTCCACAGCTCCACCGTAATCCTCGCAGGCGCCGCGCCCAGCCCGCCCCACCCCCGCTGCCGCCGGCCTTCCCTGCCCAAAGGAAGCTCTGGCTTGGGTTTCTGAACCAGTCGCAAATTAGGCTCTTGATCGAAGCCCTAATAACGGATTTGCCCAAGACTCGTGGATGAAACACACCTAGAGCGGCCGCCTAGCTCTCCCCTGGGGCCCAGTACTTGGTTATATACGGCGCAGGCTCGGAAGCCTTGAAATGGACAGAGATGAATGTCGGGGCCTGGAGGATGCCAGGCAAAGGCAAGGTTGCCTGCTTTCCAACCGATCTGCGGGGGCGGGCGGGGATAGCGGGGAAACGGGGCTGTTTCCCAGGCCGTGGGTTCTGAGTGGAAGGACAGCGAGGTTCCGGAAGCAGGAAACTAGAGGTACCAATCCCCACCCTCAAGAGTCCCATGCAGGGTCTTTTCTCTCCGGATGGACGGAGCCCCCAGGGTCAGCCAGGATGCTCTCTTCCCAGGGCATCCCCAGGAGCTTCCTTGTGACGGCTATTTCTCAGCACCTACATCGTTTCAGGATAATAAAGAGGCTCCAGTAAAGAACTCCGTACCAGAACACAGTCCTGTTCTCCTTCTGACCCCCAGAGAACCAACAGGAACACCCACGTAGCTGACTTTTTGTTTTGTTTTGTTGTTTGCTCTTGGGCCCCTTTGGATAAAAGATCTCATTAAAAAAAAAAAAAAACTTGTATTTTCATTTAAAAAAAAAAAGAGGGTGATTTACCTTGTGGCAGTTTAAGGAAAGCAATGGGATTGACAAATATTCTAGTTGCTGTGCAACCAACAACCTTCGAATCTTTGGCACTTTGCTATCCTTCCTGAGCCTCAACACCCCCATCCACAAAATAGGTACACTTAATTTTGCTTCTGCATTGTACGTGCTCAGATAGATACGATTTCAGGGATACCTGATCCTTACCTTTGAGGAGCTCAACTTAGAGCACAAGGCAGGGAGAACACAACAAATAGGCAATATATTAACAACTTAAGAGCCTCTTCTCCCTCCGTTCTCCCTGTGCCTCTCTGCTTTAAAGGCCCTGGCCTTCTATGTTACTATATCCACTCCCATCAAAGGGCTCTGTCTCTGTGGTGCCCTTGGCCTGGAATGTATGTCTCACCTCCTTCATCTGGTGTTAACTCCTACTTCACTCCCACCTAGAATATCCATTCTTTCTGGGATGCTCTCCAGCTCCCAAAATGGGTCTGTATCCTTATTATAAACTCTCACTCCAGTCCAGAACTAAGTATGCTTATTTGATGTCTCTCTTTCCTTCACCCAACTGTGAACTTCAAGTGGGCTTTTATCCAGCCTGGTTCCCTTGGGGCTTAGCACAGGATTGGCAGGTAGTAGAACATGCTCAGAAAACACTTGTTGAACGAATGATTGCATCTATGGATGCAGATGCTTCTGTGGGAGGACAGAGAAGGAAACAGTTAATTTCTCCAGACCACGGAGAAGTCCTCAGGGAGGAGGGCATGTGTGAGCCTTGAAGCATAAGCAGGATTGTTCAGACAGAAAAGGTCACAAGCACATAGAAACACATAGAAAGGTGACAGGTGACGGTGCTTTTGAGGGGACACTGGTTTGTTCCAGGAGCAGAGCATTGGCTGTGTTCAGCAGTCGCTGGAGAGGGGGCTCAAGGGGTGGTTGGAACCAGCGTGGAAGGGTCTCTCATACCATGTTTAAATTTCAGGCACAATCGCAGAGCCACTGGGTACCAATAAAGGCTTAAAAAACGAAAGCAAGGGCCTGGCACAGCCAGAGGTGTGTTTTAGGGCAACAGCTTGGGCTACTGCCCAAGAGCATGGTGGCTTAGATAACGAGGTCACTGGAAGCATGGAGATAGCTACAGATGGCAAAACCAAAATAAATGAGAAGGGTGTGACCCAAGGTAGTGGATGCCCCAGGGAAGGGAAGGGAGGGGAGGGGGCTGGAAGGGCTGCTGCACAGACAGGGCTTTGTTAATGAATTGAGCATTTTTTTCCGGAACCCAGTTGTCCACATCGTGAACCTTGTTTGTACCGTGAGATAGTGTTTAAGCTGGATTCTATCCTGAAACAAGAATTCAAGTGCCGGTGGTTTATTTTGGAGATAATCCTAGGAAGTGCTGTTTGAGAAGTAGGAAAGTGAGCAGTGATATGGCCAGTGTGTGTGCAATGATAAGCCAGTCCCTACAGTGGACAGATGAGGCTCAGACCTGCCGGGGACCTTTGAAATACAGCATGCAGCAAGTCTCAGAGTTGTCACACCCAAGCAGTAAAGAAATAGGTGTTTATTCACTATATTCTATGCACAATTGGCCAAGAGCTGTTCCTAGAAGGTTAACTCCCTGGCACGTCCATCCAACCCCAGGTACATGGGCAGAGAGAGACCCCAGGCAGAGAACTCTGGACACTCTCAGTAGGAAGCCATCATCTTGTACATGGAATAGCAGGTTCCATGGGGAAATGACATCTACAATGTATATTATTATTTGCCCACGTCTGCTGTTCTGCACAGGTTAGGCATGTTATGTTCTTTGATTTTCAGGATAATCTCGTGAGATAAGAATTATTATTGCTCCCTTACAGAAGAGGAAACCTGAGTATCCGCATGGTGAATTGGGCTCAGAGGAGCACATTGGCTCCCTTGGTTGTGATTAGATACAAAATCTGACTCCAGCTTCATGCCCATAACATCTCACCTGTTCAGCCCCTGATTGATAACACCCCATGGAAGTTTGGGAGGTTCTCCATTGAACTGTTGGATGTTCTCTGCTCTTTCCTTGGCCTCCTAGTATCTCTGTTCTACCGAGGTCCCTTGCCTTGGTTCTGAATGTTTTCCTTTGGCATTAGAAAAGTAAATCTAGTTGGCAGTCAGCACACAGCGTATTTAAGAGAATGTGTTTGTCTTATGTAGTGTGTTAAAGGAAATATACTTATTCCCTCCAGGGAGTCTTCTGGCTGTTTACAAATCCAAGACTGTAATTGGCAGTCAGGTGGTTATCACAGCCCAAAGTAAGGCTGTGCTGTTTGGGGAAGGACTGTCTTCTGAGTCCTGTGTAACAGTACTGTTAGGTATTCCCAACTCTGCTCCTCTCTAGTGGAGTGTGACAAGAGCTATACTACACAGCACATCTCCAAATAAACACAGTAAATCAAATTTTAATTATAAAATCCATTCTAGAGCCTCAGTTGGGAAGTTTCTTACATTGTAGAGCAATGTCAAACAGCGGCCACTAATGGTGAAACATAGTATTACAGCTCAGCTCTAATGAACTTGTAAATGGCCAGAAAGGGCAGGAGTAGGGGGTGGATGAGGGCAAATTTAGGAACTCCTCTAGGTGTTGGTCATCAGAGGGGAGTATCACATAATAGAGGTGAGGTCTTGGAGATGGGAAATAATATCAGCTTTACTTTAGAGATGATTTTTTTAAATAATTTGAAATGGTACCAGAATTCTTCAGTGAAATATGTTACTTCTCTGATGCTGTGTCCTTTAGTAGTAGTCATTCCATTGTATTATCTTCAGTACTGTTAGAATTATTTGCTACACACATATTATTAAATCTCCAAAATAACCGTACGACATAGGGACAATCATTCCTGCTTTACAGAGGTAAGGATTTCATACAAACTAAATAGCTTTCCCAAGATCACCTAATTGGTAAGCCGCAGAGTTGGAGTTTGAAGTGGGAACCATCTGACTCTGAAATGTGGATTCCTTTTATATTATACTGTCTTTGGCTTTATGTATTTCTCTTTCGCTCATAAAATACTGTTTAATATGCCACAGGAAGGAGACAAATTTAGGTTAATAATGGAGACTGGTTAAAAAAAAAAAAAAAAAAAAAACTCTGGCCAATAAAAGATCTTAGTGAAGTCCAAAGCCTTATATTAAAGGGTATGATCCATAATTTCTTATAATTCATGGTGATGCCATTTAAAAGTTAATGGAACTTGATTGCCATGAACACAGCCGTATTCTTCAGAGAAGAACTGGGGGTCAGGCTGTGGGGCAGAAGACATTTCCTATCTATATCCCATGGGACCAGTCCCATGCAATAAACCCTGGTTGTATCAGAGGAGGAAAAAAGTGAACTTATATTTATTCATCCCCTTTGAATGCTGACCTGAGCTATTGCTAAGCACTGGAGATCAAATGGTGACTAAGAAGAGCAGATTCTCATTGCTGACAGAGGTAGCAGTCTAGTGAAGCGGACACATATTAGTTGGGTCAGGTTACCCAGAAGCAAACTTTCTTAGTTCAGAGGTTTGAGTACAAGTCATTTGTGAATGCTTCCCAGGAAGCATGGTAGAGGCCTGGGGAAGAGATGGACATGGAAAAGAAATGAACATGAGGTGTGTATCCACAGGTGATGTTGTGGCTTGTGTATGAATTGGCCCCTGAAAGCACCTGTGTGACACAATGCAGGAGCATTCCGAGGTGAGATGATTAGATTGTGAGAGCTGTGACCTAATCAGTGGATTAATCCATCTGAGACATGAATGGGTGGTAACCATAGGCAGGTAGTGCATGGCCCAAGGGAGAAGTCAGTGGGGATGTGCCCCTGGGGATTCTGTTATCCCTGGTTCCTTGCACTCAAGTTCTGTCTGCTTCCTGGCTGTTGTGAACTCAGCCACTTTCCCCCTCCATATCCTTCTGCCATGATGTTTTACCTCATCTCATGCCCAGAGCTACAGAGTCGACAGACCATGGGCTGAACTTCTGAAACCATCAGCCCAAACAAACCTTTCCTCCTCAAAGTTGTTGTGGTTAGGTATTTTGGTCACGAAACAAAAAAGCTGACCGAAGCAGGTGATCATGGCCATAAGGCAGGTAAAATCCTGCTGGAGAACTCGAGCGGACAGTGAGGGACACACCACAGAGGCTCCCAATCAAGAGGCGAGGTAA